ACGTCCCCTGTGACTGGGTGATAAATGCAATGGGAATTTATGTTTGGGCCAACTACCTGGGCAGTGTCAAAAGAAAGAAAAAAATATACCATGCATAAGTTAGGCAAGAGAGGGATGGGACCCATACCATGGTAGTGTTCTAGGGTGGGAAGCCATATTCCGGGTGCAAGACTGACCTCCTTTCTCCATACTAGAACATATCTATTGGGCATTGTGGTGCTGTCAAGGCTACAGAATGCAGTGCTGTCCCTGTTGACTGGCAGATAACACCAGTGACAGACATGGAACTAAAGTATATGGTATAGAGGAACCTATATTTTGTCATGTAGGAGAGAGGAGGTCACATGGCCTGTGTGTCCAAATCGTAAAAAGATAATAGAGCTTAGGTAGAAGAGACAAAGCAGTTACGACAGGGCCTATATACCCTTGAATAGAAATCTTCTATTCATAGAAAGGTCCTAGTAGATCTAGGTAGGCAATACACTGTGGAAGTCCCCTGAACAGCGCACATGGACAAGAAGCTATCTGTAAGAAAGGCAAATGGAGGCTGTAAAGAGACCTTGTTGGGGGAAAAAAAAAGCCAAGTACATTTAAAAAGACTTAAAAAAAGCCTGGTTGGCAAATCATATGTTTTCTTAGAAAGAAAAATCTGGTGTGCATATTGTGCTACCAATTTCTTTTCTCCTGTCACACAATCTGGGGGTGTCTCTACAGTGAAAAGCCTTCTCACCTACAGTGATAATGTCAATCTGTTTGCAACCTAGGGTTACAGGAACCTATATAAAAGCATACTGTTTCAGATATTTACCAAATGACAGTGTGATTACATCCAATTTTGCCACTAATTTAGTAGCTAAATGCCCATCTATGCATTTCTAAATTAACTACATCCATGAACACCGAATACGTAGATGATGCAATACTTACACCGTCATAGAGCAAGCTTCAAGTAGGAAAAGGCCCTCACCCACAATAACTATATGGAACAAACAGAGCATATTGTGGAATGTTCACAATGTAAGCAGCTAATTTTTCTGGTTACCCTTTATTTTGCATTCAACCATATCCTCATTAAATATGTAAAAAAAAAATTAAAATAAAAAAAAAAAAAAAAAGATTTAGATGGAATTGACCAATAAAGTAACACCAAACCTAAGAAGCTACAACAAAAATGTTTTTCTTATGTGCCTTTTAGGATTACAGGTTTTACAAAAAATGATCAAAACGCTATCCACAGTAGACTCAACCCTACAACTGGCACTTTTTCTCAACAGCTTGGTCTTTTAACGTTGAAATCCACCACATTTAAGAATTGTTAAGCTGCAATAAAATAAAGGTTTGTGTTGCATTTAATATTGCTTTAATTTTCTTCGTGCTTGTGACCAAATGTCAAATTGTATAGAATGGAGTTCAGGATCATTTTATCACTATTGTCGTGTTTTTGTCCATGAAAGTTATCCATGTACTGTAATTGGAATTCCCTGTTATTGAGCTTTTATTATAGGCTTATATTGTTCTACTTTTTGTAATCATTCATCTTACAATATTCTAGTATTGTTAAAGAGGAGTTCTAACCCTCCCCACCCAAACAAAAGTGTAAAGTCAGCAGCTACAAATACTGTGGCTGCTGACTTACCTGTCCATGCATCCAGCAGTATCCTTACTTGAGCCAATTCTTCAATTAGCGATCAGGCGCTGGCGCTGCCATCTTTAGTAAGGGAAACAGTCAGTGAAGCATTGTGGCTTCACAATCGGTTCCCTACTGCGAATGCGCAAAGCACACTGCACTTTGTGAATGGGCCACAGTCCCAGAAGGCTGCAGGGGGAAGAAGGGGGGGGGGGTTAACTTCCAACTCAGTTTGCTGCAAACTGAGCTGGAAGTGGGAGCTGGTAACTGTCAAAACCAGGTACTCACTCCCTTCTCCCCCCAAAAAAGTGCCAAAAAAAGTGGAAGCGGAGGGGGGAGGAGGAGTTAGACAAATGGAACTTCCCCTTTTGGGTGAAGCTCTGCTTTAAAAAGTGGGTTTTCTTTTTCAAAAAAAAAGAAAGTTCATTTATGCCCATTTACTGCAAATCATTTTTCACACTTCCATTCTATTAAAAATATTAGCATTTTACCCAGTGCTTTATCTTTAATAGATATTAGACTTACACTTTGAAAGTACACTGCATTTTTTTGTTTCATTTGATAGCACAGTAGATCAGCCTGTGTTTAAATGGATCTTGTCAAAATGGCTGCCCTCTTGCTCTCTAGTGTTGAAAATTTCAGAGGCCACTAGGCCAAGATAAATTGAAAGACAACTTGCAAAAATTGTACTACTATTCCACAGAAAATCGTGACTACTAAGGGTCCATGCCCATGTGGCTTAAAAAAAAAAAAAAAAAAACCACGCCAGTTCCCTTGGCAGATAAAAAAAAAACCCATGCTGAGAGCATTTTATATAGGCATTTAGCATTATTTTCTGTCAGAAAACTCCTCTCGAAAACAAACCAGAAGGGTTTTTTTCTGCCTCTAAACATGGAGCTTAAAATATGGGTATATTGGATAACACAGAGCTGCTTTTACAGGCCAAACAAAAAACTCTTGTAGAAGCAGCTTTTGGTGGTTATACTAGGATGATGCCTGCAGCTGTAGGCATCATCCTGGTATCTTTAGCCGGCGGTCGGCCTGCATGTAAAAAACAATCCTAGCTGCTAATTAACTGCTGGATCACTTTTACAAGCAGCAGGAAGGGACATCCCCCCCCCCCCCCCCCCCCCAGCTTTCTCGGGCTCTCCTGTGCCACTGACGAAACCAAGATGCAGCCGGCCTGGTTCCAATCATCTCTAAGAACTAAGAAACTGGAAGCAGAGTTTCATAATTTTGGTTTTGCCAGATATAAACAGCACCATTTTTAAATCTGGAAAGCATCCAGTTACACAGATCTTGTGATTAGATGCTTTAAGGGCAGAGGAGAGATCTAGAGTCTAATAGACCCCAGATTTCTCAAAAGGGAGTAACTGTCACTGTCTTATTGCTAGCACAGGGGATATTTACATCCCCTGTGAGAATATATAAAAAAAAAATGTGCTTTAATTTAAAATCACTCCCACCGTGCTCGCACAAAAAGGCAAATACAAGAGTGCGTCAGTCCAGTGTTGGTATGTAAACAGCAATCAGTAACATTTTTTATGGTTTATCAAAAATTTTTGCAATATATTGTGTTTTTGTGCATTAAAATGAAATTGAATTTTTTCCCAAAAATTTGAGTTTGAAAAATCACTGTGCATGCAGCAGGGCTCACCTCTCAGGTGAAAGTACTCAGATGGCAGTGCTGCCGCCCGGTTGCTTTAACACAGTCACCACGGTCTCCCCCCTTCCACACACACAGTGTCTCCCATCCCAGAAGTCTGGCCATCTGCAGGCCCAGGACTGGCACAGTGTGCACCAGCAGCTAGAGGGGAGGGAGGAGAGCAAACACGTCCACTCCCTTACCCTTCTTGTCCTGACCCGAAAGTGACATTTGACTTCACTTTCAGGTCCCCATTCACAGATTCCCGGCCATTGAGGCCAGGAAAGAATGTAATGCAGTGTGATGTACACTACATTACATTCATGGGGAGCACACAGGAAACATGCAGGGTCTTTTAGACCCTGGATGTCTCAATAGAAATAAAAAAAAAAAAGTAAAAAAACCAAAGTTGCACCCAAGCACACAACATCCCCTTAAAAAATAAATAAAATGTGGGGCCCCCCCCACCCCCACCCCCACATATGCACATGTACAAAATTAAAAGCGAGCCTACGCATGAAAATGTTCATGGCGATACATATCGCGAGAGCAGTAATTCTAGCATGAGGCATCCTCCGTAACTCTATACGGGATATAAGGGGCTTTAAAAGGGTCGCCTATGGAAAATATAGGGTACTGAAATTTGGCGCCATTTCACGAGCGCATGCAAATTTAAGGTTTAACATGTTGGATATCTGTTTACGCAGTGGAACCTCATCTTTTATACTTTACAAAAAAAATGGGTAATTATTGCTTTTTAGTGCCCTAAAATTAATTGAAATGTATTTTTTAATGAAATTTTGCGTTTCCTAGACCTTTGCAATAATATCATGTGACATAAAAAATTGGAACTACCACTATTTTTTTCTCTAGGATCTTTGCCTTCAGAAAATATATAATGTTTGGGGGTTTTGTGTATCTTCAAGCCTAAAATGATTTTTTAAACGTGCAAAAATGGCTCTGGCATCAAAAAGGATAAAGGATAAGCCTGGCACTCCCCTTCCCTGACGAGCACCCTATCAGTGCACATTACACTGCACGGTCTCTCTCCTCCCTGCTAGTTCCTGGGTGCAGTGCTGGAAACAAGCAGGGAGGGGAGGAGAAGACATACAGCACAATGTTGAAAACATTCAAACGTTTAAGTCACCATAGAGCCCCTTTTGATTTTAAAAGTCCCAGACATTACTAATATCACCTCTGATTTATTCACATGATTTGGAGATGCCTGAAACTTATAACATATTTGGAAGAGGTTTTACACACTATATCTTCCCTCGCCCAAGTTTCCATTTTATCGAATCCACTAGTGCAGTGATGGCGAACCCGTGGCACGCGTGCCACAGCCGGCACGCCGAGCCTTATCTGTGGGCACGCCAGGAGAATACCGTATTTTTCGCTCCATAAGACGCACTTTTTTTCCCCCAAAAAAGGGGGGAAAATGTCAGTGCGTCTTATGGAGCGAATATAGAGCGGCCGGTCCGGTATTTCCACCGCCGCCGTGTCAGAATACTGGGCCGGCCGCTCAGCTCTGCAGTGGGACCGTACCTGTCCCTCTATCCAGTGGCGCGCTGTCTTCCCGGCTTCTGTAGCGTGCGTGACAGCCGGGTCCCAAGTGCGCATGCGCAAGAAGCAGTGCTCTTTGTGAATGGTAAGGCGGTACCTGGGACACATGACAGATCCCAGAAGCCGCCGGACCAATCACAAAGCGCAGCGCTTCTCGCGCATGCGCACTGGGCATCCGGCTGTCCGACAAGCTCCCACACTACAGAAGCCGGGAAGACAGCGCGCGGCTGGATAAAGGAACAGGTAAGATAAAAAAAAAACTCTGCGGAAGTAAGAGCGGGTACCTGTCAAATTCAGGTACCCGCTCCCCCTCCCTCCCCAAAGGTCAGCAGTCATCTGTACTGTCCGCAGTCTCTGGTCATCCCTGTACTGTCTGCAGTCTCTGGTCATCCCTGTACTGTCCGCAGTCTCTGGTCATCCCTGTACTGTCTGCAGTCTCTGGTCATCCCTGTGCTGTCCGCAGTCTCTGGTCATCCCTGTGCTGTCCGCAGTCTCTGGTCATCCCTGTGCTTTCCGCAGTCTCTGGTCATCTCCTGTACTGTCCGCAGTCTCTGGTCATCCCTGTACTGTCCGCAGTCTCTGGTCATCCCTGTACTGTGTCCGCAGTCTCTGGTCATCCCTGTACTGTCCGCAGTCTCTGGTCATCCCTGTACTGTCCGCAGTCTCTGGTCATCCCTGTACTGTGTCCGCAGTCTCTGGTCATCCCTGTACTGTGTCTGCAGTCTCTGGTCATCCCTGTACTGTGTCTGCAGTCTCTGGTCATCCCTGTACTGTCCGCAGTCTCTGGTCATCCCTGTACTGTGTCCGCAGTCTCTGGTCATCCCTGTACTGTGTCTGCAGTCTCTGGTCATCCCTGTACTGTGTCTGCAGTCTCTGGTCATCCCTGTACTGTCCGCAGTCTCTGGTCATCCCTGTACTGTGTCCGCAGTCTCTGGTCATCCCTGTACTGTGTCTGCAGTCTCTGGTCATCCCTGTACTGTGTCTGCAGGCTCTGGTCATCCCTGTACTGTGTCCGCAGCCTCTGGTCATCCCTGTACTGTGTCCGCAGTCTCTGGTCATCCCTGTACTGTGTCTGCAGTCTCTGGTCATCCCTGTACTGTCCGCAGTCTCTGGTCATCTCCTGTACTGTCCGCCTGTACTGTACTTTCCGCAGTCTCTGGTCATCCCTGTACTGTGTCTGCAGTCTCTGGTCATCCCTGTACTGTCCGCAGTCTCTGGTCATCTCCTGTACTGTCCGCAGTCTCTGGTCATCTCTGTACTTTCCGCAGTCTGGTCATCCCTGTACTGTCCGCAGTCACTGGTCATCCCTGTACTGTGTCCGCAGTCTCTGGTCATCTCCTGTACTACGTCCGCAGTCTCTTGTCATCCCTGTACTGTCCGCAGTCTCTGGTCATCCCTGTACTGTGTCCGCAGTCTCTGGTCATCCTTGTACTGTCCGCAGTCTCTGGTCATCTCCTGTACTGTCCGCAGTCTCTGGTCATCTCCTGTACTGTCCGCAGTCTCTGGTCATCTCCTGTACTGTGTCCGCAGTCTCTGGTCATCTCCTGTACTGTGTCCGCAGTCTCTGGTCATCTCCTGTACTGTGTCTGCAGTCTCTGGTCATCTCCTGTACTGTGTCCGCAGTCTCTGGTCATCCCTGTACTGTGTCCGCAGTCTCTGGTCATCCCTGTACTGTGTCTGCAGTCTCTGGTCATCCCTGTACTGTGTCTGCAGTCTCTGGTCATCCCTGTACTGTGTCCGCAGTCTCTGGTCATCCCTGTACTGTGTCCGCAGTCTCTGGTCATCCCTGTACTGTCCGCAGTCTCTGGTCATCCCTTTACTGTTAATTAGTTTGCACTACTGTACGAGTTGTTTTTTCTAAACCAAAAGCTCGATATTCAGGTTTCATTGCAGTGTTGGCACTTTGAAAAAGAAATAAGTTGGTTTTGGGTTGCAGTTTGGGCACTCGGGCTCAAAAAGGTTCGCCATCACTGCACTAGTGTGTCTATTAGGAGTGCTGGATGCCAAATTATATCCCTCAGGTACCTTGTAACAATCCTGGCATTTTAGGGTCTCCAGAAGTGATTGGTAGTGCGGAAATATACCCTTTGAAAGCCTGAAGTGGGCCACTGGATTTTGGGGGCCTGTGCATGGTTGTAGGCTGCCAAAGTCTCACATGTGGTATCCCCATACTCTGGAGAGGTAGCAGAATATAATTTTGGGATGTGTGAGCAATATATCGTTTAAGTAAAAACGTGTATAAAAAAAAAAAAAAAATTCCAAACATTTGTGGCAAACAAAATCCACATGCCTCATTAAATTCCTTGGGGTCTACTTTCCAAAAAGGATTAATTTGGGGGGTTGTACTATCCTGGCATTTTAGCACCTTAAGAAATGTGATGGGCAGTCAGAAAGTAAAAAGTTGCATAAATTCAAATATATACAGCAGGTAAAATAAGTATTGAACACGTCACCATTTTTCTAGGTAAATATATTTCTAAAAGGTGCTATTGACATGAAATTTTCACGTCAGTAACAACCCATGCAATATATTAATAGAAAGAACCCAAAACAAATAAGTTCAGAAATTAAGTTGTAATAAAATGGAATGACACGGAAAAAAAAAAAAGTATTGAAAACACGAAGAAAGGGAGATGCAAAAAAAAGGGATGGAAAGCCTAGACACCAGCTGAAATCTATCAGTAATTAGAAAGCAAACCTGCCCCTTGTTAGTGAAAATTAATATCAGCTGGTTCAGTCTCAACTGGTGGCCTATAAAAAAAGGTGCCATTACCAAGGTTTTACACAAGAAACATCTCATGATGGGTAAAAGCAAAGGGCTCTCAAGACCTTCGCAACCTTATGGTTTAGAAATCCTTCTGTAACCATTAGTATGTTTCGCAACTTCTGAATGTTCGTGAGCACTGTTGGGGTCATAATCCGGAAGTGGAAAGAACATAATTTCACCATAAACAGGCCACGACCAGGTGCTCCTCGCAAGATTTCTGACAACAGTGAAAAGAATCATCAGAAGAGTTGAAGAGCCAATTACCACTTGTGGAGAGCTTCAGAAACACCTGGAATTAGCAGGTACTCTTTTTTTTTTAACACCCAACACACAATAAGTAATACACTCAACCGCCATGGCCTGTATGCATGTTCACCATGCAAGCCTCCATTGCTTTAGAAAGAGCATGTTGAAGCTCGTTTAAAGTTTGCTGTACAACATTAGACAAGCCTGTGAAATACTGGGAGGATATAGTCTGGTCAGATGAGACCAAAATTTCTTTGGATGCATAATACAGACCATGTTTGGAGGTCAAATGGCACTGCACATCACCCCAAAAACACCATACTAACAGTGAAATTTGGAGGTGGGACCATCATGGTGTGGGGCTGTTTTTCAGCATACGGCAAACTTCATATGATTGAAGGAAGGACGAACGGAAAAATATACCAAGACATTCTTAATTAAAAAAATGAAATATCTGCTCCCATCTACCAGGATGATTTAGATAAAACGAGGGTGGACATTTCAGCAAGACAATGATCCCAAACACAAAGCCAAGGTAACTCAAAGGGGAAAAAAAAAACGTGCTAGAATGGCCCAGACAATCACCTGACTTTAATCCAATAGAAAATCTATGGAAAAAGCGAAAGATATCAGAGTTCATAGAAGAGGCCCACGGAACCTTCAAGATTTGAAGACTATTTGTGTGGAAGAATGGACCAAAATCACACCTGAGAAATGCATGTGACTAGTTTATCTATATGGGAGGAGTCTTGAAGCACTCTTACCAACAAAGGATTTTGTACGAAGTATTAAAATACATTTCAATTAGAGTGTTCAATACTTTTTTACCTATGTCATTCAATTTTATTGCACATAACTTAATTTCTGAACTTATTTGTTTTGGTTTCTCTGTATGTATGGATTGCATGGGTTGTTACTGACATGCTGAAAATTTTACATCAATAGAACCTTTAGAAATATTTACAGTATTTTTCGCTCCATAAGACGCACTTTTTTCCCCCCAAAAAAGGGGGAAAAATGTCAGTGTGTCTTATGGAGTGAATATGGAGCGGCTGGTCCGGTATTTCTGCCGCTACTGTGTCAGAATACCGGGCCAGCCGCTCAGCTCTTCTCTGCAGCAGAACCTTACCTGTTCCTCGGTCCAGCACTGTACAGTCTTCCCGCACCGGCATCTTTAGTGTGGGCACCCGGATGGTGACTGCCGGGTGACCACTGCGCATGTGCGAGAAGCGCTGCATTTTGTGAATGGCCCGGCGTCTTCTGGGACATGACAGGTCCCAGAAGACGCCAGGCTGTCAGCCGGATGCCCGCACTAAAGGGAGGACAACTCCACGGAAGTGGGAGCGGGTACCTGTCAAATTCAGGTACCCGCTCCCCCTCCCTCCCCAAAGGTCTGCAATCTCTTGGTCACCCCCTGTACTGTGTCCGCAGTCTCTGGTCACCCCCTGTACTGTGTCCGCAGTCTCTGGTCATCCCCTGTACTGTGTCCGCAGTCTCTGGTCATCCCCTGTACTGTGTCCGCAGTCTCTGGTCATCCCCTGTACTGTGTCCGCAGTCTCTGGTCATCCCCTGTACTGTGTCCGCAGTCTCTGGTCATCCCCTGTACTGTGTCCGCAGTCTCTGGTCATCCCCTGTACTGTGTCCGCAGTCTCTGGTCATCCCCTGTACTGTGTCCGCAGTCTCTGGTCATCCCTGTACTGTGTCCGCAGTCTCTGGTCATCTCCTGTACTGTGTCCGCAGTCTCTGGTCATCTCCTGTACATCAGTCCTGATCATCTCCTGTACTGTGTCCGCAGTCTCTGGTCATCTCCTGTACTGTGTCCGCAGTCTCTGGTCATCTCCTGTACTGTGTCTGCAGTCTCTGGTCATCTCCTGTACTTTCTGCAGTCTCTGGTCATCTCCTGTACTTTCTGCAGTCTCTGGTCATCTCCTGTACTGTGTCTGCAGTCTCTTGTCATTTTCTGTACTATGTCTGCAGTCCATTGGTTCAGAATATTTTTTTCTGGTTTCTCACCTCTAAAATCTAGGTGCGTCTTATGGTCAGGTGCGTCTTATGGAGCGAAAAATAATAAGGTACCTAGAAAAATGGTGACGCGTTCAATACTTATTTTATCTGCTGTATATCATAGTTTGTAGATGCTATAACTTTCACACAAACCAAATTAATACACACGTATTGGGATTTTTTTTTAACCAAAAAGACATGTAACAGAATACATGGTGGCTTAACATTATGACTAAATTAGATCTCTCTCTCGATCGGCACTACGTTATTTCAACTGATAATTGAACTAATAGCAAAAAAATGGCCAAGTCATGAAGGGGGAAAAACCTTCCGAAGTGGTTAATCCACCTCATACACTTCATTCTTTTGTTTACCTCCTGCTCTGTTCAGCCTCTGTTCTCCCTGCTCTATGTGACAGCAGTGGGTGCCTGAACAGCAAATTTCAAAGATAAGCGAGGATGAACACATCATAGGGTGGAGGTATGTTTGAGCAACCAAACTGATGGGAGATCTCAAGGAGGGCGGCTCAAAATTGTTGGATTTGAGCAATGTATTTGATCTGAGAGGCAAACCGTAGAGCACACAGCCCCCTGGTTGGAACACATGATTGCAGGTGCTAGTAGTGGATTTTTGACTTAGAAGGCTCTTTTACACAGGTAGCACCCTTTCGGAGCTAGGGATCTGTAAACAGTCGAGCATAATGGATGTCACCTTTTTAGTATCCTTAACGGTTCATTTTTTTTTTTTTCCCCTCACGCAGCTTAATAGACCTATGTTAGGTTAAGGTGGAGGTAGTCGGACATGTCCGTTTCCATACTTTTGCCTCTAATCTGGCATGTTTAGGTCTGAAAAACTGGAAAGAATGCACAGCGTAGGTAATCAGATGTCAGATGTAAATAGGTCATGCCGGGACAGAAGGACAATTTTTAGGGGGGGGGGGAACAGAAAAAAAAAAAAAAGATTGCGGAGCCAAGTTAGATTCCTGGATCTTTTAAAAAGTGAGAGAGATCTCTCATTTTAGTGGAATTTCCCCTCAAGGTATCTAAAAAAAAATTAAATACAGTTTTTAATGTAGAAAGCAACTTGTCCTTTAAAATTGTCCTTTTAAAAAAAGGCATATTTTATGGTTGTTTTATTTTTACTATAAAAAGGTTTCCAGATTGAGATCCAAAGGTTTCCAGTGCTATGTTTAGCAATTTCATACAGTTAAAAAAAGAAAAAGAAAAAAAAAAAAGGGCGGGTCACAAAGAATAAGAACAATATTACTAACGATACATTAAATTATTTTGAAATAGGTTTCATAATATTGTACATATTACAAGATTTATTAACCACTTGTCTTCCAGAAAGACCCCCCCCCCTTATGACCAGGGAATTTTTAGATTTTCAGTACTGTGCTACTTTACCTGGCAATTAAGCGGTTATGCAAGATTGAAATTTATGTGGTAAGAATTCTGTAAATGTCATTTGTGTACAGTTAGTGGCAGGGATGTTCAATTACCATCGCAAGCAGTGGGCAAGCAGCGGGCTCACCGCTGTCGGCTAGAGGGGAGGGAGGAGAGTGTATGTATACACATACATACAATAATGCACATGCTTTACAGGCAGGGTGAATTTGATTTAAATCAAACTGATTTAAATCACGATTTAAATCACTAGTCAATAAGGCTTGATTTAAATCATAGTTTTCTACATAAAGACTATTCTTGCTGGTATAACTTTAATATGCAAGTAGATGAAGATTTTTAGAATAACAACTTATCATATTAGTTTTTTTTTATCCCCAGTTTAATAGGTTAATCATTCATATTTGGACAACTTTTCTGTTGTACTTAGGAAGGAGAAAAGTAATCATTACCTTAATAATAACAATTTAAATAGATTTATTCAACTGAAACAATAACATTCCAGCATATGTTATTTGCTTAAACAAACATCCATGTTTGTTAACTAATTTGGCAAAACAAAATATATATATTTTAAGAAACTTAGACTGTCAGCCCCTTCCTCCTCACACTTAGTTTCACTTTCTTCTTGTGCAGATCTATTCCACTCCAAACAATCAGAATAATATTGTTTCTATTCTATTCACTGAACTTCTTGAAACTTAGCACTGACGGGGTTGATTCTGTATTCATAGGTTTGTATGTTCATGTTATAACATTTTTGCTGTGAAGAAGAGGCATGTGATCTCCGCTGAGTCAAATTCAGTTTTGAGAACTGCAAAAGTAAACCAAGCATCTGTGATAATATCTTGTAGGCAGAGAAACTGCCCAATAATCTTACAAAAACCTCTGGAACAGCAAGACATTGTGAATGGATTAATGGAATTTATTTACCAAAAGAATTAAACATATACAGCCTTTATTCTACATAATTAAAAAACTAGTCTTTATTTCATGATGGAATAACCTTTGGATGGTAATATATTTTCCTCAAAAAGCATTTTTTTTTTAAATCCGATTTAAATAAAAAAAATCTGATTTTTTTAATTTTTTTTTTAAAAATCATTGATTTTTATCCACCCTGTTTACAGGTAAATGAGAATTTATTTTTTTCCCCTAGGACCTGTAGAGCATTGTCCCCACGATCAGTGGATGCAATGTCAGGCTCCTGCACACACTTGCTACAGCTTTTTGCCCACACTACTATATGGGCTGTTTGAAAGCTGTAAGAAGTGTCAATGAATTACGAGGGTGCTTACAAACACCCTTACAATTCACTGAGAACTACAAGCAGTCTGCATTCAGATTCTTGTACATTAATGATACAGCCGTGTGTTGATTTTCAGGAGAGCAAAAAAAAACGAAAACAAACAAAAACTATTTGCTGCCTGCTGCTCATAGTGGTAAATATACAATACCTAGATTTCATGTTCCATAAGGAAGATACTGGCATGTTAAAAGTTTATGATGTTATCAGTGTATTAGTACAAAAAACAGCTATAAAATCTGAATTCTTTGATTTAATATTGACATTCAAATCAATCTCACAGTAAGACTTTGAAAATATTTGTGTCACTATTGCACTTTATGAGTCATATCAAGATGCTACTCTCACTAATATTCATAGCACTCCACATCACACGTTTGTTAATGTTTATGAATTATTTTATTATAATTATTTCACTCATCATTTGATTAGTGCTTCATTTTACGATTATTGATGTATTATAGGGATTTGAGGTTTGACCTTTATGCTAGCAGCTTACTTTTTTATTGCATTTTACCTCTTTTTACTGATCTGCAGGCTTTTTATCCTATTTATTTTATATCTCACTACCATTATATTCTATATTTGACATATTCTATTTTATTTATTTATACCGTTTTGAACTATTCCTAGCATGTAGATTTTTGAATTAAGATCTAAAAGATCTACTATATCAGAAGAAGTGTTTACTTATGAGGAAGATTTAGATAACCTACATGGTCTATTCTTACATTTGTCAAACCATACTACCTCAGAGATCCGGACCCTCTAGGACATATCCTTCCTAGAGAAGTACATCAAGGAAGGTATGGTACCAAGGTCACTGAGATGGGATATACCCCCAGAAACAGATGACATAAATAGTGAATTGGAGTGGTATCTCTTCTTTAACAATATGGGACTGGACTTATTAAAATTTCTTATCCTAAGGAAAAAGAAAAAACTTGTTTATTTGGATAACGAAATTAATAAAATGAGAGAGAAGTTGGTCCCCCATATGACTAAAGATGAATACAAAAATTAGTCTGATAAACTTAAGCTTCTTCTGGAGAAAACAGAGAAGGAACAAAAAATAAAAATGAGGAAGAAGTCTATCAGAGACCTGAACGATTATAAAGATAAAGAGGTCTTTAAATGACAAATTTCGAAAAAAGAACTCCCTCTGCTAGCTAATGAAGCTGGTTTACATCAACCAGCCAATAACACTAACAGAGGTAATCTAGCTCAAATACGTCTACACAGACCCCCAAATACACCTAAGAGAGGTCATCAAGTTAGATATAATGGCCAACCCCTCAGGATACCGAATACTGGATTTAACCAATACAATGTCCCTACCCAGAATAGGTTTGAAGCTCTAAATACCAGAGGGAACTCCAACATTGGTGACAGAGACATGAGGATGCACCCCATGTATGAACAAAGACCCCATCAAATGAGAGGGGAATATAATGGGTTCAACACTGAGAACTGGTTTGAAACCAAGATCAAGGTCTAGAACTGACACATGGAGGAACTCCAATGAATATAACCAATACTCTGGACACCATTCTGTCAATGGTTATAATAATAG